CGAATGATATTTGCAAGGGTGTTTTTACTTGCCCTTATCCTGGATCCGTCTGCACGCCGTCCGGGCCTCCGTCGTCCTGCCTGCTGAGTCCTCGCAGGTCCCACGAAGGCTGCTCCACGGTAATTCACAATATGGGAGTTTGGCCACTCACCACGACTCGCTTAATTCGCTACAACGCAAAATCTAAAATCTCCAAAAGAGAATTAAGAGGGAGAGGTCGTCGCCCCCCGCGGTGGGGTCTCCGACCTCAAATTTCCCTCCTCGATCGGGCTTTCTCGCCCTTGTGACGGACGTCAAAAATGTCACGTCACAAACTCTATTCTGTAGTTATAATTTATTGTAAAAAAATAAACTCTTGAAAAGCTATCATTAATTTGTAAATATAAAAATACTAACTGGGGGACTCATCGCATCGCCGACAATGGCTCTGTGCTTCTATAGACGTCTATATTCGTTGATAAGAAATTGTGTTTGTAACAATGAATGTATATTTATGACATGTTGTTTGTTTCATTGGCAGCAACCAATATGTTGGTTATATTATCAGGCATTTCGCAAAATATATAAATGTGCAGAATTTAATGACGTATAAAATCATGAAGAGAAATAAAACTTAATTAGTTAATTAGATTAATTAAAATATTTGTTTCGCCAATTATTTGCAGTATATACTAAGCTAACCGATTTCAACACTGAATATAGTATCGATTTTATTGGGAAAATCCGGATTCAGAACGCTCTATGAAAACGATAGGGGAGCTTAGAGACTAGATATTCAAATCTGAATATTTTCAGCCCCACCCTTGTCACAATACCAGCGGAGTGGGGGAAAAATCTGGATTCAACACGCTCCATGAAATCGTAACTTAATATACGTTATGTATAGTATAACGTAACGTAAATAGCAGAGAGAAAACTGAGAGTGGACATGCCCGCATTTTACGTGTTTCCGTGGGTTAGCGCCTCTATGTGCACAAAACGTGCACATTGAACTACGTATCCAATGCCCACGAATCCCGTAGGCAACGTCCACGACTTTTTGGTTCCGATATGTGCTATATCTACAAAGTGTTGGTAATGCATACTTGTAAAACATGATTATGTATATCAGCGCTCGGAATTAGTTGCACATTTCGGGCCAATTCAAAAGACGACACCTCCTGTTCCTCCACTACCGCCCGGCCGCTGGCGGTCGAGCCGCCGATAGCTCTGACGCAGGAGCGTTTTATATAAGAAATAGGCTCGGTTGTTGAGGCAACCTCTCAAAAAATAGTAATATTTTCTTTGCTAACATAAATAATGTTATTTTCATTAATAATTAAATATATATATTATGTATTAATGAAAAATAAACATTATTTATGTAGTGAAGAAAATGTTACGATTTCCTGAGAGATGCTTAAACAATCCAGCCTATTTCTAATATAAAACGCTCCTGAGCCAGAGCTATCGGCGGCTCGGCCGCCAGCGGCCGGGCGGTAGTGGGGGGACAGGAGGCGTCGTCTCCAGAATCGGCCCGAAATGTGCAACTAATTCCGAGCGCTGATGTATATCAATCAGATTTGAAATATAAATACACACGTATTGTAAATACATGTATTGTAGCATTTACTTTTGCATTTACAGTTTATTTAACAAAAGATCAGTTATTTTCAATAATCTGTAATTTGAAAATGTACATTTAAATTATTTTAATAAATTACTTCTATAATTTTGTGTGTGTGTGTGTGTGCGCGCGCGCGTGTGCAAGCAAGTGTGCAAATTGTGTACCGCACAAAGTTTCATTTAACAATTAAGTTTAAAATTTAATTCTATATTCTTAACACTACACATACATTAAAATTTGTATGCTTGTTCTGGAAGTACTTTAATTTCTTACTAAAACAAATATTGTACATCAATTGAAAAAAACCGTGTCATAAAATTTGAAACTATATTGGTCGGATCGAATACTTGTTTATTTTTTAAAATATGACTGCCCTAAAAATTGCCCTTTTTAAAAATTGTGTATTTACCAATCCTTTATAAATCAGATATTGTCAAAAATTATTTTAAGAATATCTTATTTATAAAAGATTGGTAAATAAAAATATGCAACCAAAATGAATGAAATAATGAGACAACAAAAGGCTTTTTGAAATTTTTTAATTTGGAAATACATAATTTACAGTTCAATATAACAGAATCGTAAAAAAAATTTGAAACATTGTGGTTTATAATTACAGAAAAACAGATCATAACAATTCTTTACACGTTTTCACGTCACAAAATTATTCGCTCACG